CTCTGGATTCCCTCTGCAGCCCCTGCTGCCAGTCTCCTGCCAGGCTATGAGGTGGTGAGGTAAAACCAGGAGCAGTCAGTCTCTCTCCTGCTGCAGTGATACGGGAGAGCCTGGGGTGATGGTTTCTCCCTGCTGCGTCTTCACAGAAAAACTTTTGTCTGTTTAAAAAAAAAATAATGGCGCTCGGCTTCTGCGACCTGGGAAGAGCCAGGGATGAAGCAGAGAAGCTGGAGCACCAGCTGTTGCACCAGGAGCCTAGCCACTTGCTCACGAGCCCCCACTTAGACAGTCTCTCCCAGCATTTTCTTCCCAGGGAGGGTTTGTGATTTTAAAAAAAAAAGAAAGAAAGAAAGAAAGAAAAAGAAAATGCCACTTGGCTTCTGCGTCGTGGGAATTCCTGGGGTCCAAGCCCAGCAGCTGTGGCACCAGTCGCTGCACCAGGAGAGCCCTGGCCACTAACTCCCTAGCCCTTACTCAGTCAGCCACTCATACACCCACTCGGTCACCAGCAAGTACACAAAATTTTCCATACACTCACTCACTCACACTGGGACTCACATAGTTCAACTGACTTGGCCACCATCTTCCTGATCCAATTTTCTTTTTCTTCTTCTTTTTTTAAAATCAAGATCTCACTCTGTTGCCCAGGCTGGATTGCAGTGGTACCATCTCTGATCCCTGCAGTCTCAACCTCCTGGATTCAGGCAGTCCTTCTACCTCAGTAGCCGGAACTACAAGTGCATGCCACCTTGTTTGACTACTTTTTTTGACTTTTTGTGGAGACGAGGTCTTGCTGTGTTGTCTAGGCTGGTCTCGAACTCCTGGGCTCAAGCGTTCCTCTTACCTTGACTTCTTAAAGTGCTGATTTTGCAAGTGTGAGCCACTGTGCCAGGCCCATAGATGATTTTCTAAAGTTCATTATTCACTTAATGGTTGGCATTCTAATCTGAGGAAGAGTCAATCTTTTCTTGACTTCAGACCTTTTTCTGGTGACTTCCCCTATGCAAGTCCTGGAATAAGGATGTCTTATGCCAAGGGAAGGCCTTGATTCCACTTGTGGTTTCTAAACTTCCCCTACTGTCCTCCAGCCCCAAGGATGAGAAGTTCAGGCCCCACGTTTTATTTCTCAACTGTCTTCTCCCAGGCCTTCGTTGTCACCTTACTGAGACTTTCTTTGATCACCCTTGCAGAATTCATCACTCCTTGTACTTTATTCTTCCAGTATTGCCTGTACTATCAGCTGTTTTAACATTGACAATTTTTTTGTAGTTTTTGCTTGTTTATTATAATTGTTTTCTTCTCTACTAGGCTTCTAGCTTCTCAAAGGCAAGGATCATATTCATCTTTCTATATCCAGTATTTGTCAAAGAGGTTAGTTAGCACTGATTAAGTACTCAGTAAAAGTTTTACTGAATGAGCAAACAGCAGAGCAACAACCATAATAACTGGTTTAAGTTGGGTTAAGTTTCAGCCTTATAAACACATTTTTGTTGCCAGAGTCCAAAATGTTGCTTCCTTTCTTGGGCTCCACTTAACCTTGTAGGTGGGCATTTTAAGTAGTATATACCTAGACTATTGCTTAGATATTGATAGATAGCTAAGTGATCCAGTCTTGTGGATGAAGGCCATATCTAGATGACTTATTGAAGGTTAGACCATGTGTCTTCCATTGCTTCTGTACTTTCCTTCATAAGTTGGTCTTCTTTTTTCCCCTTTCTTGCTTGGGAATGGACTAGTCTTATTAGATTCCCGATTTTTTTAAAAAGCAAGTATTAAGGATTTCTTTATATTCTGCTTTCTTTTCAAAAGACTTTAAGGTAGATTAATTACAATATTATATTCAGTAAGTAAAGTGAGAGAAAACAAGGAGACAAAACCAAAGGTAGAGATTTAAAATGATACAAGGCATTGGGCAAACACAGAAATGCATCTTTTAAAGATGTTGCTTTGAGTAGGTCATAACTCAGAATCTAGGATAATTTTTCCTTGAAATGTCATGGTCTCAGTAGGTCAAGGTGAGGATGGAGAATAAATCCAGATTAAGCAAAACATACTTAACTACAGAATTTTTTGGAGCATATATGGTAATATGTGTTATGAAAGATGAATAGTGGAAGGTATAATGTAAAATGTTCCCTAACTTTTTTGACTCTGGAACCCTTCTTTTGCAGAACATGTTTTCTGGAACACTTTGGGTGATGCTGTGTAGGCAAATATTGTAAAGACCTTGAACTTTATGACAGTGCTTCAGAGGGAAGGTACATATTACATCATAGAAGGGATATAGATGTCTTAGGTTTAGTTTAAAAGTGATGGTTAGGTGGGCAAGGCACCTGGGAATCATTTTTGTTTGAGGAATGGTTGATGGGAATAGATATTTATTATGGAGAAGAGAAAGTGGGGGTTGGTTGGGTTGGGGGTACTTGGGAGCTGTTATCGGTTATCTTGAGGACATGTTGTTGAAGAGGGAAAAAAATTGGTCTTTGTGGACACATGAACAGACCCTAAAACCATTGGATAGAATTCTCAGCAAGACCAGCTTCTATTCAATATGAGAAAACTTTCTAGTTGTCATAACTGTGCAGAGGTATAAGGAAACTGTCTTAGAAAGTAGTGAGTTTTCTGGTGCTGGGATTTCCAGACTGGTGGGGATGTTGTGAAGATTTTAGTATAAGATTGATGATAGCATTAAACAAACTCTAAGATCCCTTCTAACTAAGAGATCTTTAGATTATGTGAAAGTGTGATATGGGCCATTTGTGACAGAGACATAGGAGATATTCTTCCATAGAGATGCCTGAGTCTGCCTTTAGATATAATACTAAAGTGTGTATCTCTAGTACCTAAGTGTGTATAATACTAAAGTGTGTATCTCTAGTAGGTATCTAATAAATATTTGTTAAATGATCTAAGAGAGGTAGGGGAGTCTAGATATTGTACACTGCGTAAGCAGGTTGTACTGGTGAGAGCAAGCTCTGGGTTTTCCAGTCATTGCACTCTTTGACCCCAGCATCAGAATTCTTAGATTCATCAAACCAAGAGTAGTGGGGAGAATCATTCAAGAATTGTCACCTAGGTTCACGTGCTCATCTTGTGTCACAGCTTTTGGCATTTCTGCAGTGGTACTTTATGATGGCCAACTGTTCTTTCTGAGTATAGACAGTGGTGGAGCAATCTCTCTAGTACCTGCAGAGTAATATTATTTGAGATGATGGTCTCTAATAGATGCTCTCATGTGGAAATTTATTTTCCTTTTTCTGTGTCTTTCTACCTTATCTCTATAAATGCAATCTCTGCCTTCTTGTAGAAATTCAGTGTCTCATGGAGTTAGGTTGCAAAGACATTCTTTGCCTAAATCTAAAGTTTGCCTAAAAAGATTGAGAGCTTAAGTTTATATAAAAGGAGTGATTTCTTAATATCACTATCTTAAGTTTAAATTCTACAAATCTACTTAAAATGATTAAGTAAAAACTGTTACATGCTTCACATGGCATTTGGTAATACAGGATGGTGTCTTTCAGTTCTCTGTATTTTTTTGAAGTTTAATGGAAATTATACATCCCTGGTGTGGCATATATTCTACCCAGTGTTTTGGAGAGAAAATATGGTTAATGGTAATTGAAAAGTCTAGATCTATTGTATATTGATTTTGTTTTTTTCAGGAAGGCTATTTCGTTTGAACAGTTGTTCCCCTTGCCCCAACATTTTTGGGCAACTGTGTGGCTTTCAAAAACATAAGGTTCATAGAAAGTTGAACTTTTGTTGTATTTATTCTTGTGCTGGGGACTACATGAATTCTTTTCATTCTTCTGTGATGCTCTCACTGATTATCCTAATTCAAAGTAGTCTCTTGCTTTCTATATATTTGTCTTGTTTAACTTAATCATTTGATATTTACCCCAGGATACAAAGCCATATATCTTTATTTTATGTTTTCCCCATTATAACCTAAATTTGGGAGTAAGAATCATGTCTTCATATCCTCCACTCATGTCTTGGACAAAGAGTTTTGGAAGTTATTAGTGGTCTAGTCCAACTTGCTTATTTTATAGATGGAAAACTCAAAAAACAATGTGTTGCTTGATTTGAGCACATTTAGTATTTATGTGCATACTCGTATAGCATGAATATAATAAGCCTTGATTTATCGCTGTAATTTATTTTGAAGCTAACAAAGAATCTTAGAATTGAGAACTTCCAGGCCACAACAGCAACAATAACATTTCTATTGTCCTTCATAATTTATCAAGTACATTTACATGTACTCGTTATGTACTCAGAAATTCTATGAAGTAGAGAGGTAATTTTATTGTTCCCATTTTAGAAGTAGTGAAACTAAGACCCAAAGAATCAGTTTGCTAATAATCGATGGAGTTGGGGCTATAACTCAAGATTTTGAACTCCTGATATTAATATCATGCTGCTCCCTATTATATCATGCTGCTTTTGGGTCATCTATCTCTTCTTGATGGCAGTGAACAAGATTTCCTTCATTAATTCAGCCATCCAGTAAGTGTTGACTGAATGCTCAGACTGTAATACAGAACACATTTTCAAGCACAAAGGGGAAAGACAGATTTCTACAGCATTTTTTTCATAACTATACACAAACAGGCACCCCTCTACACAAATGCACAACTATTTATATAGCACTTATCACATGGAATTGTAATTTGTCTTTTTACATGTCCATCTCCTCAACCAGACTGTGTACTTCTTGAGCATCCTCTAATATTCTGTGATCTCCTTTATATCCTCAGTGCCAAATATACATTTGACACATAGGTGTACAGTTTGTAGAATCAATGAATGAATGAATAAGTGAATTCAGAAGTGAATGGCATTATGCCCTTTGGAGGCTTATATATAGTCTTCTTGGAGCGATAAAACATGAAGTTTATAGTAAATGCCAAGATAAAACAAAAAAAATTGTTCCTTTTCTTTTTTTAAGAGAAACTTTGTTTACAGGATTTTTTTTTTTTTAAACTAATATAAAACAGATTCCCAGCCTGTAGTTCATGTAATTGCTTCCCGGCGTCAGGATTGGTCAGAACATGAGATTGCAATGGAGACTAGTCCCACCATAATTTATCAGGATGTATCCAGTGAATCACAATCAGCTACTTCAACAATCAAAGCTCTATTAGAACTCCAACAGACAACAGGTATGAATTCACATGCTCAGTTGAGCACATTTCCCCTCTCTGGACTTGTCTGTAATCATTGGTACAGTATATTTACTTATTAGTTCATTTAGCTGAAGCGTAAATGGGCCATCTATAAAAAGGAGAAAAAAGTGACAGAGCTCTTGCCTCTCTGTCTCTTGCTTAAAATGGACAGTCCTGTTGTTTCTTGCCACCAGAAAGGAGTAGATATATCCCTTTTAAGCACAAGGATAGATGCAGTTCAGTTACCAGTTTCATTTAAGAATAGCAGGAGGCAGATTGAAGGGCCCCTGCCATCCTCCTTGATACTGATAGAGGAGTTTTGTGGTCATAAAACACCTTTAATGGCCCTTGCTAACCTTCTGATTTGTTTTAATTTTAACTAAAGACTTATTTTTTTGAGTAGTGTAGGTTAGCCACTTGAACTTCCATGCAATGCTATCTTCATTAACAAGTTCCTATCAGTATTTCTTGTTACTAAATGTCTTTGATAGACTCTGGAAAAAACCTGTGGAAGTTATACTGACTTTTCTATTATAATAGATCAAAGATTTTCAGAGTATTTAAGTGACCTTAGCGATGATCTCATCTAACCATTTCATTGTATAGACATATAAATTGATATCTAAAGAGGTTATGCAGTTGGTTAGTGGCAGAGTGAGACCCCATCTTTTGGTTCCTAGTTCAGTGTTCTCTCTACTTGTAGAGCGACTTTTGTGTTCATTTTTGTTTTGTTTTACTTTCTTTCTTTAAATGATTGTTTTGATTTTGTCATTTTATGTGCTTGGTGGAAATGATCATTCAGTGGACTTAATTACTGGTTACTGTTTTTTGAAACTTCTACTCTATACTACTCAAAGATTACTAGCATGAAAGTCTTTCATTCATCCTTCTATTGGAGTTATTTTTGGCCTTAGGCATTTCCTCAGGTGCTTGTCTTTGACATACTCAGGCGTTTCCATTTAATACTTTGTAGAGGTGGGAACTTTGAATGCAGACTTTGTAGAAAATTGGTCATAATTCCAGGAAGTTCAGATAGAAAAGAACAAAAATAAAAGAAAAATTGATAATAAGATAGAAAGTAGGTCTATTCCAGACTATTATATCAGACATTTTTATAGAAATAAAAGCCATTTTTTTTCTGTCTATGAATATTTTTATTCTTTTTGGAAGCAGGATTTATTGAGAGGACAGAAAAGCTCCCACAGTGGAGGAGACCTGAAGGGATTGCCCACATTTTTTTTAAGAGTCATTGAAGACCTTGTAACATTTCTTTGACAATGTCTTGAATTTTTAATAGATCAAATTAACTGTTCACTGTTTTGTGCTATTCTGTGTACTGTTTATCATCCTTTGTTTTTAGGTTGCTGAACTCAAGACTACCAGGGTCTACAGTGAAGAAGTTAAAGGAAATACTCTAAGAGGAATGTATACAAGAGAATGTATACAGTTGTTTGGCCTAGGGATGATAGAGGGAGGATTTTAGTGTGGTTGCATATGAGTCCTTCTTACTAGACTGCTGAGTGTGGTTATGCAAGTTGTGTGTGCACTATAAGCCATGCGCATAGCAGTTTGCTTTGTTCTTTTCAATTCTCTGTCTACTTAGGCACTGCCAGTGTGGCACCCCAGAGGTCTGGTTCTTTATTCCCATGGACGACTCTGGTTTTGGTACTTGTTTGTAATAAAAGTTAACTTTTCCCCTGACTTTTTCATGCAGTAAAGGAAAAATTGGAATCTAAGCCAAGACAACCCACCATTGACTTGAGTCAAATGGCAGTGCCTATTCAGATGACCCAGGAAAAGAGACATTCTCCTGAGAGTCCATCAATTGCTGTGGTAGAGTCAGAACTAGTTGCTGAATACATCACTACTGGTAGGTGTTCTTTTAAAACGTAGCATTAAGGTAGGAGAACTATCTTTCTGGATTTCATGGGATGGTTGTTTGGGGGAGAATATGTTCTTTTACATTTTTAGCTCTTTGTCTGTTTGTTTCCAGATTTCTCATCATCCTTGGGATTTACCCTGTCTTTAATAATTAGAAAAAAAATAGAATGTTACAAAGTTTGCAAGTAATGTAATACTACAAGTCAACCATACATAGCGTCTGTAAATATAGAGCAACAATTGTAGAGGGAGAATAAAATATATTTTATCTAAGAATAAGTATTTTTATGCATCTGGAATTTTTAGATATTGTGGGGGACATGGGTCAAGGGAGAAAGAAGGTATACAAGCCAACCCTTTTATTTTACTATGTTTTGAAAAAATGGAAAATCTTATATTTCTGTAAATACTTAGGAATTCTGGTGGAAAGCAGATTAGGTGTTTGTTTAAAATGTGGTCTGGCAACAAAACTGAGAATTTTGGATGGCATATAGGGAAAAGCAAGACAGGGAAGATAACAGATTCTTTCCTCATATGAGATCACACCTGGAACGCTGCTTTCTGTTTTGGACACTTTGTTACTTTCAGATTTGAAATAGTTCACGGAGGAGTAACGTGGATAATTAATGGGTTAGGGGAGATGACTTATGAGGCAGTATGTAGAAAGCTCCTATCTTGAGTGTTCTTAAGCAGTGGTTAAAGGAGAATATAAACTTATAAGTATTTGAAGGTTGTAAATACCAAAGGGGAAAAGAAATTATTTGGCATTATTTTAGGAGATGCTAAGACTAACGGGGCTAAGTGCAGTGGCTCATGTCTGTAATCCCATAACTTTGAGAGGCTGAGGTGAGAGGATTGCTTGCACCCAGGAGCTCAAGACCAGCCTGGGCAGCATAGCTGTTTTTCTCTACAAAAAAAAAATTCCTGGGCTTGGCAGCATGTGCTGGTTGTCCTAGTTACACAGGAGGCTGGGGTGGGAGGATCACTTTGGCCCAGGGGTTGGAGGCTGCAGGGAGCCATGTTGGTGTCACTACACTCTAGTCTGGGAAAGAGTGAGACCCTGACTCAAACAAAAAAAAAGAAAGACTGATGGGTTACAGTTGCCAAAAGGGAAAATTCAGTGAAGTTATGGAAAGCCATCTGGAATCATTCTTTAGAGATATTTAGCAGAAAACTAATTAAAGCAGAGGCCAGTATCCTGGGGAATTCAGTGTTAACTTCTGGGGTAGACTAGATTATCAAATGGTAAATAGATAAAAAGACCTATGATTTCTTCCCTTACTTATCCTTTCAGAACGCACTGATGAGGGAACAGAGGTTGCTTTTCCCCTTCTAGGTAAGTGGTATGCATCTATTTATAGTATCAGTGAAGGTAAAAGATGATTGTTTTGGGGAGAACCGCTTAATGGATGTGCTCTACTCTGATCTGGCAGAGGAAAGGTAAGCTCCACTTAGTGAAAGAAAGAGAAATTTTCCTTTTGCAGAACAGTGGGATTCTTTCTCAGAAATGAGAACTTTGACACTGGAAAAAGTAAGAATTGTTTAAAGATAAAAATGATTGTTTTATGGTGTTTATATGGCCCAGTTAAATCATTTCAGCTATTTTCCAAGTGTTCATTCTGTGCCCTCCTTTCACAGTCTCCACACATTGTACCTGCAGCCCATATTGAACATTTTCTTTGACTTCAAAGCCAACTGCCTGGCCCTGCCCTTTGTGTCATTCCACAGTGGTTATTAGTTTTCTCTAACTTTCCTGAACTCTGGGAAGTTACTGTGAAGAGTTGTATAGTATCTTGAAAAAGGATTGTTTTTTATATTGTTTCAGTTGATCTTTTATTAAGTCCATTTAATTTCTTAGTAAAAACTTAATAATAATTAAGAAGATTAATATGGCAACAGAAATATTCCATATAATATAATTTCATCTGAAATTTATTATTTATTTTCAGATGTCATTTTTCATGATGCTTTCATTAAAAAATTTTATTAACTTGCTTACTTTAAATGTACTATAATTTTTTTATCTCCTATTCAGTCATATTGTAAATGATTTCAATTGTTGTTTTAATGTAAACCGTGACTCCCTTTTTTTTCAATTTGGTTGGGCATATATGGAAGAATTTATTAACGCATATAATTTAAAATGTACATATAAAGCAACACTGTGAAATACAGTAAGGTACTGCATTACATTTATAAAAGAATACTGGTGATGCTACCTGTAATCTCATATCACATGTAGACATGTGTATAGCAACAATAGAAATACCATGTTTGTGAATATAGATAGAATGTGTCATAAAAAATAAATAAGGCTTATTTATATTTCACTAGGCAGTTTTAAAGTTTGTTCTTATAACACATAAATGGCATTGTTTACATTGATTTCTGTAGTGATCATCTTACTCTTGACACACTGTGACTTTTCTAAGTGTATAACCAATGCTACCTGAAATTGTAGATCAAAGGATATGAACAGTAGAATCATTGGTTATTGAGAGAGTTTTGATAATCCCAAAATCCTTATCTAATTTAGAGATTTATTTTATTTTTTCAAATTCAAAGGATTCCTAATTCAAAGGGTTGTTTCCCAGTAACCATAAGCACTTTTAAAGCTCTGTAATGTGAAAGTGGCAAATGTTTATACTGTTTAGAAAGTTGAAATTGAGACTGATAAAAAATGATAGTTTGGCACCTGTGTAGATGTATAGTTTTGATTACTTCATGGGACCTTTGTAGCAAGAGAATAAGAGTACACTGTACTCTTACTCAATTGTGTAAGATGAGCTAAATTTGAGATGCTAGCACAAATTTTTCTATTCTTCTGTAAACCTTATATTTTTGGTACTTTACAGTTTAAGGACCATTTTTCAATTCATTACTTCATTTGGTCCTCTTCTACATAGAAACAACAAGCTTTTACTATCTCATTTTTTAAAAAATCAAACAAACAACAAAGCCTCTAAGATTTAGCGTCTAATAGAGGGTAAGTGACCTCCACAAATGCATATGACAGTTGTTGGCAGAGTACGACAGAATCCAAGTGCGACTCTTGGTCCAGTTTATTTTCTGCAGTGTCACCCTGACCTTTAAGATTTTAGGAACTATAAGGCTATGAGACAGAGTCATTTTATATAAAGGAGTGAATGATACTAATGTTTGTATTGCATTTGGAACTAGGACCAGGAGATAAAAGAATTTATATTTTCTTACTCTTCTTATGTCTGGGATTACAGAAACTGACTATTGCTTTGTTACCTTAATGGGATAAAGGTCACCAGAGAAAGTAAGTGCAACTCACAGGAGGATGTAACTTTAAGGGGTTTGTTCCTCCTTTGTGATAAGAGTTTTCACAGTGCTTCCGCATACATTTCTCTTCTCATCCTTATAATAGCTCTGTTATTGCCATTTTACAGACGAGGAAACAGAGTCTCAGAGAAGATAAGAGACTTTCTTAGAGTCACAGCTCTTAGATGGGCAGACTATGGTCTTCTGCCTCCTAGTTCACAATGCTACACTTTCTCTCTGTGATGCAAGCTCACAGACATTTGTTTAAAATGACTACTGGTTACAGATGACTACTGGTTACAGTGGTGATTTCTGGAGAAATATCATCACCTCCTCTATTTTCAGTCAGCCATCGCTCCCAGCCCCAACAGCCCTCCCAGCCCCAGCGGACCCTGCTCCAGCATGTGGCTCAGTCACAGACTGCAACACAGACCTCAGTGGTGGTGAAGTCCATCCCAGCATCTTCCCCTGGAGCAATCACCCATATCATGCAGCAGGTTGTATCTCTTCTTCTTCCTATCTTCTGTAACTACCTCTTGCCTGAAAAAAGGTTTAGTTTCATCTTCTTAATTTTAAGAGGAGAAATAACAGAATTGTAGAGTATCGTGTAATCTGTTCATCTGTGAAAAATGAGTAGAGGAAATGAATTAAGGGTCTTAACACCAGAAAATAATTGTGAAACAATATTCTTGAATCTTCTGTGAATCTTCTTATTTCAGAAGGGTGGGGTTGTCTAGATGAATCTAATGACATCAGAATTGGTCACTGTTTCTGTGTATTTCATTGTTGTGGAAAAATATATCACTGAGGTAAATAAGATTTTCAAATGAAATAGCATTTGACTTGTTTAGCTGTTTGCTGATGGGTTTGTTTTGTTTTGTTTTCTACTTTTAAAATGAATCCTCATGGGAACATTGTGAATAAGTCGGAAAATAAATATTTGATTTCTATATATATGGCCAATTATAGAGGCAGAGACACAACAAGAGGTTGAGATTATAAGTCTAATGTAAAACAAGGACATCTGGTACTTAGGGAAATAGAGGAAAGGAAATAGATGTTGACAGGTCAGTTTTGTGTCAGATAACTGTGTTTTGAGCTTTAAGTATATTAACTTGTTTGATTCTCACTATGATCCTTCTTGGTGAGTGTATTATCCCTCTTTTACAAGGGAGGAAAATCATGCTCATAAAAATTAAGTAAGTTGTCCCAGGTGGCAGAGCTAGGATTTAAACCCAAAGTAACAGCCTTTGTTATATAATCATATCACAGATATCAGATTAAAGCATGGCTTTATCATTAGTAATCACATAAATCACCATCACTCAGATGGTAACAGTTGAACCTAATTGTATACAAACTACCAGATACTGCCTCCCAGATAGTTTGGATTGGAAACCTGTATGTGTAAAGTCATTATGCTATAGAGGAGAGTTGCAACTGAATCTCAAAGTTTTAAAGTTTAGAGTGGAAGTATGACATATGATAAGTCAGGGGAAGGATGAGGATAGGGTAAATCTTATTATGTCACTGGGGGAAGCCAGCTGGCCAGAGGTTTTGCTGGGTGGCAGGTCTTAGACTGAAAGGGCTTTGCCTGGCAGGTCCTGACATTGACCTTTTTGCAGACACCTAGAGACAAGCTATCCCTAACCATGTCACTCAGGAGGATGCCTCTGCCCAGCACTTCCTGGCAACACCAGCAGCCTTCCCTCCCATTGACAGGAATGCTTCCCTCTCCTCTCCAGTCTTCTTCCCTCCTGGGAGCTATATCTCTGTGACCTGGTGGGCCTGGAATTTAAGCAGAGGGGTGAGGAATGCTAGTTGAGAGGTGCTTCACACAGACCTCAGCGAAGCCTGAAGAGCCATCTCTACCCTGTGCAGGGAAGCCCTGTGAGCCCTGAGATGGGCACTTGTCTCAGACAACATCCCTGACTTTCCGGACAGCACTGGACATGCACAAGGCCACACTGGGCTTTTCTGAGCCTTGGTTCCTTGGTTGCTGCGTTCTTCCCTTAGACAGGCTGATGTCTCTCATGGATGGGGTAGAGAGCTGTTTCCTGAGCCAGGGAGCCTTTCTCTTCTTTTTCTGTGGTGGACTGTGCTTGCAGAGCACCTTATTCTTCTAATCTGTAAGTTCTGGGCCTTCTAGGACTTTTCCTATAGTAATGAGTGGACCAGTTTTTTGAAGTACTTAATATCTGAGAGTTCAAATTATAAGAGTTTCGATCTAAAGTCCACTTGAGTTTCCTTGGTCAGTTTAGGCTCTTCCAAACATTTTTGAGTGTTTCTCATAAACAAGTCTTTCATTTCAGGAAAATATAGCAATGTTAGTGTTTTTCTTATTTCATTCTTACTTTGTGCCTTTTTTACTTAGGCATTAAGCAGTCACACTGCTTTTACCAAACACAGCGAGGAACTTGGAACTGAGGAGGGCGAGGTTGAAGAGATGGACACTTTAGACCCTCAGACAGGTCTGTTTTACCGATCTGCCTTGACTCAGTCACAGTCAGCTAAACAGCAGAAACTTAGCCAGACCCCGCTGGAACAGACTCAGCTGCAAGTGAAAACTCTGCAGTGCTTCCAGACTAAACAGAAGCAGACCATCCATCTGCAGGCAGACCAGCTCCAGCACAAACTCCCGCAAATGCCCCAGCTTTCCATCAGGCATCAAAAACTCACCCCTCTCCAGCAAGAACAAGCACATCCCAAGCCAGATGTACAGCACACACAGCATCCCATGGTGGCCAAAGACAGGCAGCTTCCTACCTTAATGGCACAGCCCCCGCAAACTGTAGTACAGGTGCTTGCAGTGAAAACCACGCAGCAGCTCCCTAAACTGCAGCAGGCTCCGAACCAACCAAAAATCTACGTGCAACCCCAAACCCCTCAGAGTCAAATGTCGCTCCCAGTCTCGTCAGAGAAACAGCCGGCAAGCCAGGTAACGGAATATTGATAGCATGCAAAGTTAAACTTCTCTGTTCACGGAAAAAAAATGAGAACGTCACAGTCCTATCATGATTTCAGTGCTTTCTCCTGACAAGAGGAAACCCAAAAGCCTCATTAAGCTGGTATTACTTGGTCCTATCAGAAGGTTGACATTAGGGAAGAAATGCATGCGTTAATGTGTAGGAAGAAAAAGAAAGCATAGCACTCAGAACTTGATTTTCCAGGCAGTTTTTAATGAAATCACTTCAGCATTGACCAACAGTACATAGAAGCAATATCCCTAAACTATTTTTATCTTTTAGGCATATAATATTTATTTCTATACCTGTAAACTCTCATTTCTGTGGCAATAATGCTAAGTAAACTGCAGTCTTTTAGGGAACTTCATTGAACATCTTCCTTTGTAGTTTGCATCATCGCCATCTAGTTAATAAGTTTGTCTTCTAGATTTATTTTCTAGATTGCAGGGGAAATGTGGATAATTGAAAGAAAAATTATATTAGCAAAAGTCAGTGGCTCTAGAGTGTTATATGTGTATGTTTATATTATATATATATATATTTAGAATATGTTTGTATACATGTATTTTGAAGCAAAATATTGGAAAGAATCTTACTTTTTATTTTAAAAAGGTGAAGATTATATGAATTAATTTGAGCTGGGTTAAAGGTGTACTGTTTAGGGATGTAAATCCCAAAGGAAAACTAGGCATCTGTGACTTTTTTCCTTTACTCCTCTGAACCTTAACTGGCTGAACAAAGGTTCTTTCGACCCCTCTTCTTTCCCTAGATTCTGTAAAAGTAACCAGATCCTCCTATCCAGCTCACTTTTTAAAACATGGAGCTTCAAAAATGTCTTCCTAGTATATAGCGCACGGATGTTTCTTTTGCCATGTTGTCTGGGATGTTTGAATAGGTTTTCTCAAAAAGATGTAGCTGTAACACACACAACCCCAATTTATTTTCAGGTGGAGCAGCCAATTATAACCCAAGGATCCTCTGTTACAAAGATAACTTTTGAGGGGCGCCAGCCTCCCACAGTTACAAAGATAACTGGTGGCAGTTCTATGCCTAAGCTGACATCACCAGTTACAAGCATAACTCCCATTCAGGCCTCTGAGAAGACAGCAGTGTCAGACATTTTGAAAATGTCTTTGATGGAAGCTCAGATTGATACAAATGTAGAGCATATGGTAGTGGATCCCCCAAAGAAGGCTCTTACCACTAGTATGCTCACTGGTGAAGCAGGATCATTACCCTCTACCCATATGGTGGTGTCAGGGATGGCGAATTCCACACCCCAGCAACAGAAATGTAGAGACTCCTGTTCAAGTCCATCCGCTGTTGGCCCTTCCCTCACAACAAGGAAAATCGATGCACCAGGTGTGCCTACGACAGGCCAGTTCATGCGTATTCAGAATGTAAGCCAAAAGAAAGCTGAAGAGAGTCCAGCAGAAATTATCATCCAGGTAAGAACTGGAAGGAAAATGAGAAATTTTGGGTATCTTGGGGGTTGTGGGTTTGGTGTGTTTTGGGATATTACAGGAAGATTCAAGCCAGGATGGCAAGAAGACATAGAGATTATCTTTGGCACAGTGTTTGACAAATTTGGTTTAATACCTATTATAAATATACAAATTTATAATTATTTATTTTCTGGAAGAGAATAGTAGAAAATTGATGGGTATTGTTAGACAGCCACTGTAAAGGCAAAAAATGGCCCTGAGCCCATGTGTCAGTTTGATTTTATGAGATACAAGCCATGTTTGTCAATGTGTTAATTCAGCATGTCAACCCAGAAGTTCAGCAGTTTCCTGGGTTTAAATTTTAAACTCCCTGATCTTTGCTAAAAAAAAGTCCTGGAATATAGTAACTGGATTGTACTTTTATTTCAAGTTAATTTCAGGGACCCTTTTCTTGGAAAAACAGTTCTTATTCCTGGTCCAAATTTATGATTCTTAGGACAAACTTCAATTGACTGGAATGTATAGAGAAACCTATTCTAAGGGAATGTTTCTAAATAATACAATTTTTTATCTAATTAGGTATTAACCATAAAATTTTGCTTTTTCTTTCAATTATTGTTATTTTTAAAATCTCATTATGGTTACTGTCGTGCCTTGGTAAGTACAGGTCAGTTAACATAATGGAATTATTCATTGATAATAGCCTGTACCTCACATTCCCTTCATTCTAAAACTTATCTCTCATCATGCATGATAGATCAAGATTAAAGAATTACAGACTAGCCCTTAGAAGTGTGTTTTATTTTCCTTTCTCCTTGCAAGGTATCAGATTGTTTTCTTGACATTTGTCATTTTTTGCTAATGTATAGCTTGAAAGATATCACAGAAGCACATTTTATTTAGCTGAGTATTTGGATTTACTGATATATGAATAGCCCAGGTTTGACCATAGATTCACTGTGGGAAAGTTTCCCTTTGCCATGATTCCAAGCATTTGAAAGAATGCAAATTGACCAATGTTAAGCCCATCAAAATATAATTAAGTATGGAGGAACTGATTAAAGGCAAGTCGAAATGGCCATTGAATTATTAAAATGATGTTTCCCTTCTTAAAAACAAATGTTAGTTTAGTTAATTAAATATTTCTTGATAAAAGGATGTGTGATTTTTCACATTTTCCCCTGAAAAGGTAGGGTATGGTGGAAAAGAAATAGTTTTCTGGCTTTGTCATTCATTGTATGACTTTGGGCAAGGCTACTTAACCTCATTCTGCCTTAGATTCCTTTCAGTAAAATGGGAATAAGTAAAGCCTCTTTTACAGGATTGATGTAAGTATTACACAGAATTAAGCACCTAGCACAGTACCTGTACAATCAAACAGTTGTTAACTGTTACTGTTTTTACTAAAATTTACCATGGCTGCTGCAGTCATAGATTGCTGTACTTATTAAATTGAAAATCATTTTGGATAGTTTATTTGGAAATTATTTTTCTGAATTTTGTGAATAGGGATGAAATGTAATTTGCTTCATGTATCAAAGATGATAGCTAACACATAGGTTCTCTTTAGAATTCTTAGCCAACTTTTAGCATGTCCCATTTGCTAGGTGTGCTGTATCAGAGGTAAGAGCAGCAGAATGATCCCTAGATATGATTTCTGCCTGTACACATTATGTAACAGCACTGCGGCTTTTGGTGATTGAGTTAACCTGTATATCTCAGTTTCTTTATTTATGAAATGGAAACAACCCAGGGTTGTTTTGAGGATTAAGTGAGAAAATGTATTTTTTAAAAAGTAACTGGTGAAATGTCTGATATAGAGCAATACTCAATAAAGATAAGCTCCTACTATTATCTTCATTATTAAGATATTGTTAGAATATTTTCAGATCGTATTAGTTATGTTTAGCTTTGACCTGAAGTATTTACTGAGTCTGTGAAGTGCTTTGATTCTGGAAGAATGCTCTGTAAAAATTCAACGTGTGTGATATTAAATGCTTTGAATAGAAAGCATTTTCTTTGTAGATGGACAATCTGTATTTCATTCATTGCTTCCTCCCTCTCTCACTCCCTCCTTCCCTCCCTTCCTCCTTCCACTTCTTTTCTCTCTCACTCCCTCTTTCTTTCCTTCCCTTATGTATTATTTAACCACTATGTTCCAGGCACGGCGCTAAGTGCTGAGGATAGGAAAGTAAGCAAGATGGATATATCCTCTATCCTGAAGGAGTCTATATATATGTATGTGGAATTCATAGACTTTTAGAACGGCAAGGATCTTCAATGTGTATCTTCCAACTATCTTATTTTACACAAGATTAAGGCTTAAAGACATGGAATGACTTACTCAGAGGCCCACAGCAAGTCAGAGACAAGCCCCATCTAATACTTTTTTGCAGTAATCAGCTATATGGAAGAGAGGTCCAGAAACAAACAGAACTTCACCATTCTAGACTCAATGCATAGACATCTTGCATTATTCTCTCGATAGTGTTAAAATTAAGTATATCTTTTGCCAGTAAAATATTTTTTTGGTCAGGTATATTTGCCAAGTGCTGATACTCAACCTTACTCTGGTGTGCTTAATGTTGAATGTTTTTATTGTATTATTCAAAAAATGTGTTATTTAGTCATCAAATGCTTATTGAGCATCTACGTGTGCCAGGCCCTGTTCAAAGCTCTGGGCATCTAGCAATAAATAAGATAGTCAAGTTCTGTGTATCCATGCTCTCTCAGAGCTTACATCCTAAGAGTAAGAAACAATTTAACAACAGATGATAAACATAATGAAGAAAATATAACAATACTGCTTTTGGTTTGGTGTCATGGAAGGAAGACGTTTCTAAGTTGCAAGTGACAGGATAGAGCCAGCCATGCAAAGATTCAAAATAAGAGTATTCCAGGAAGAGAAGAAGGACCAGTGCTAAAGCCCAGAAGTACAAGTGAGTTTGGCTTGAGGCTAGAGTCCTGGTAAGGAGTTTGTAATTATATGGAAAGTACAGTAGGAAACAATTAATAGAGTTTTAAGCAGGGATATGACATGAACTAATGAGACCTTTTTAAAGGATGTCTTATAGAGATGAGGAAAGAGAATCTGACATAGCAACATGCTTGAGATATTACTCAGAGGCCTATAGCAAATATTCATCTACTGGTATTTTTATTGTCTTGAAGGCAAGTTTTGGCTTCTCTTATACTTGAATGCTTTCATTATTCTCATTTTCAATAAAGATCACTGTGTGACCCAAATAAATAACTTACCCTTTGAACCACCAAAGAGGCTTAAAGTATACTGTGATATCAGCAAATTACATTCATTTTGCAGATAATAAATAGCCAAATTTAACTAATGATCAAAGGAAAGTATTCTTCAAAGTTAGTCTCTTGAATTAGGCAGTAGACTAGAGTCTTCTTTGTTAGAAGAGGTGCCATAAACGAGTGGAAAGATCCAGTCGAGTTGTACAAGTCTTGGATTTGAATCCTGGCATTAACCCTGATCAACTGTTTGACTTTGATTAAGTCACTTACCCTCTCAATTTCCTCATTTGTAAATGGGAATAATTTTTTTAGTGTTGTTATGGGGATTTAGCAGCATATGTGAAAGTACCTAACACAGTGCCTGGCATGAGTAGTTGTCCAATAAATGTCAGTTTTCTTTTTTTATTTCTTAGTGTTGGGGAAATGCTTCTGGTACCTTTTCTTACCATAAAGATTCTCCTGTGTCTTCTCTTCCAGGCCATTCCCCAATATGCTATTCCTTGTCACTCCAGCTCCAATGTGGTGGTGGAGCCCAGTGGGCTTCTTGAACTAAACAACTTCACCAGTCAGCAGCTGGATGACGAGGAGACGGCAATGGAGCAGGACATAGACAGTAGTACGGAGGATGGAACTGAGCCCAGCCCTTCTCAGAGCTCTGCTGAACGGTCCTAGTGTTTTGGACACAGTAGTGCACTTTAAAACCTGCTTGGTTACCAAGTGTCCAGGAAAACCCTTGTATTTTGATGTCCAAAAAGAGCACTTTGCCCTTACTTAAGCTGTGGACCCTAAAACAGAAGTGTTTCAACAAGGTATTGCTGCAGGAGCAGCATTTTAAAGCAAGATGTAAAACTCACAGGGGAATGTACTTAAAAAAAAAAAAAGAAGCGAAAAGAAAAATAATGAAAAGAAAAAGGAAAAACAAAGATGCACATCACCAGTGATTTAAGACCTGATATTCTTCTTTCTTTGTTGGACCATGCCAATGGAAAAGTTTTGTCTTGTAGTGTAAAGAGACTTTTCCTGTGAATGTTTCTCAACTGGTTTCTACTGAGCAAAATACCATCCAGAAGGAGAATATGAATAGTTTGTATGTTGAAAAGATGTGTCAGGAAGTTTTTTTTTAATTTATATGATTTGCAAATTCCTAGAAGTGATGAGTTGGTTAACATTTTACATTTGCTCAGTTCATAATTCGTTTATAAATACCCAGAAGAATACTGGCATTAAAGAATCTTTGCTGGATGGTGAAAATCAGACCGCTAACCAGTGGGAAGTGCTTTTGGGGTGGCTTGTACAGTCTCATCAGTTGTATGCTAATTTATTGTGTTGTTGTTCCTTTGTGCTCTAAACAGCACAGTTGCCTTCTATTTATTTAAGTGTAAGCATTTCAAAGCAGGCCGTATTCCTTCTGACAAATTTCTTGTAAGCCAGATTTGCCTACCCTTTCCACTGCCATTATCCCCCTAGCATCCCCTTCTCACCTCCTTTAAGAAAGATTATGAGAAAATGTTTCATTGTGAAGCAGAGGAAAAGAAACATTTTCTGACCCAAAGGAAATGTCCAGTTATATTAAGGAAAACAGACTGGGTGCGGTGGCCCATGCCTGTAATCCCAGTACTTTGGGAGACCAAGGCAGGAGGATCACTTGAGGCCAGGAGTTTAGAGACCAGCCTGGTCAATATAATGAGACCCTGTCTCTACAAAAAATAAAATAGAAGTTACAAAAAAAATTTTTGAAAAAGGAAAACAAATCACTCATATGATGCAATGCTTTCTTAATGTTGAAATTGCACATTCACATTGGACTGAAACTTTGAAAATAACTTTTACATACTTTTGTTTAAGCCCCTTTGAAATGTATAAAAGGTTCATTTACAGTTCTAAATGTATTGTTTTTAAGCATTCTACCTTTTCAGGATGCAGTTTGTTGACTCAATATGTTTTGGTCTTGTGATCACTGCCTGTCACAAGTAGAGTGAGGGATAAGTGGGTGGGAGGGTAAGAGTCAGTTTTGACAAGTTGTGGCAGAGGAAACTATCCTTTTCACTTTTTAAAGAATGTAAATAGAAAAGTTTTTAACGGTTTTATATAGATTTCACTATAAATAAGCATTTTAAAACTGAAAAATGTTGAACTGTACATACATATATCAGCATAACTGCCCAATTTTTTGGTGCTGAAGTACTGTAAGTAGAATTCATCAACAGTCTCCTAATTTTTGCATCTGCATCTGGAAAAAAAAAAGCTGTGATACTATGATCAATAAATTCCCACTAGAGTGACACTGAAGACTTAAACACAAGCATTCATAAGATGCACTGATCTCTAGTGGTTGTCAATATTTCTACTAGGTGATAATGACTTACCCATAGATGGAGCTGTTGGATATTATTTTATTGTACAAATTCGTGTTTTAAAAAATTTTGTGACTCTGTTTCTAGTTAAGTAATTTTTAAATCTCTCTTGGGTCATAGACTTCTTTGGAAGTCTAATTAAACTATGAACTCTCTCACCAAAAGATACATATGCCACATGTTGACTACATGTTAGCCTTGGCATACAATTTTAGGGGTTCATGGGCTCCTAAGCCTATCCATGTATTCCAGGCTAAGCCCTCTGTTACAGTCAATCCATTAGTTACAGACGTAAGTTTTTATAAAATAAAGTATCTTTTAAATATCCATAGATCAGGTAACAAGAGCAAACTTGAATAAAGTTATGTTCTACATATTTTGGCAGCATAAGCATACCTGAGTCCCTTTGAGAATTTAGCCTTACTGCATTTCTGCAACTGGAATGGCATATAAAGCTGCCATGGTCCATGCTTTCTAAAAAAGTTTTATATGTTAACAAATTATCAAGTGATATTAAATTTTTTTTCTCTTAAAGGTGCTAATTTTAAGTAGAGCATGAATTTTTAACTTTATGCCACAAATGTTAATTGAGCATCTTCCATGTAACAAGTACTGTTCCAAGCACTGGGGATACCATAGTGAAGAAACAGAAAACCCTGGTCCAGGCACAGTGGCTCACGCCTGTAATCCCAGCACTTTGGGAGGCCAAGGCGGGAGTACTGCTTAAACTCAGGAGTTCAAGACTAGCCTGGGCAACATAGTGAGACCTCATCTCGCTAAAAAATTAGCTAGGCATGGTGGTGAGCACCTGTAGTACCAGCTATTTGAGAGGCTAAGGTAGGAGGATCACCTGAACCCAGGAGGTAAGGTGGTGGTGAGTCGTGATTGTGCCACTGCACTCCAGCCTCGGTGATGAGTGGGACCCCAACTCAAAAAAAAAAAAGAAATAGAAAATCCTACCTTTATGGAGTTTATAAACAGGGCTTCCTGTTGATGAAATGGATACAAGGGATAAAGAAAGGAAAAACAAGAATGAATCTTAAGTTTCTTGATTAAATGGGCAGATGTCGATGCCATATATGAATTTCTAGACATGCTTTTACTGAAATTCTTAGCATTATATCTATTAGCATTCCATGTGTAAGTCCGTACGTTAAAAGCCACTTAAGTCATGTCTGAAGGATATTCAGAGATTACGATACAAATGCTACAGAATTGTTAGAATCCTATCCTAACAACTGTTAGTCAGTGATAAGAAAAACCCATTTGGTTTAAAGTAAACTTTAATTAAAGTGCCTAGTATTGCAGATGCAGTTTATGGGAGAACTTAAAAAAAACTTTATTGAGATATTCACATGCCATACAAATTCACCCATTTAAAGTGTACTGTTTCATGGTCTTTAGTATATTCACAGAGTTGGGCAATCAGTTACTACAGTCAATTTAGAACATTTTCCTGAATCCCCTAAGAAAACCTGTACCCCTGAAACCCCCATCACCACCCCAACCTGGGTACCCACTAATCTACATTCTGTCTTTGTGAATTTGGCTGTTCTGGGCGTTTCGTATAAATGGGATTATATAATATGCTCTTTGTGACTGACTTCTTCCACCTAGCTTATTTTCAAGGTTCACCCATGTTGTAGCATGTTTCAGTATGACATCTCATTTTATGGCCATTCCACTACAAGGATCTGTCACATTTAACCCATTCATCAGTTGATGGTGTATTTTCATTGTTTCCACTTTGGGGCATTATGAATAATGCTGCTATGAACATTTGTGTACAAGTTTCACATGTATTTTCATTTCTCACGGGTGTATGCCTAGGAGTGAAATTGCTGGGTCATGCAGTAACTGTTTAGCCCTTTGAGGAGCGGACAGACTCTTGATTGCATGTATGACATGTATATGAGGGTTTTGGTTTTTCCACGTCTTTGCCAACACTTGCTGTTATTTTTCTTTTTGATTATAGTCATCCTAGTGTGTGAAGTGTAAAGTAATATCTCACTCTGGTTCTAATTTACATTTCTCTGATGACTGCCGATAAACATCTTTTCATGGGTGTATTGCCATTCATTTATCTTTGGATAGATATTCAGGCTCCTTGCCCATTTTTCAATTGTTTTCTTTATTTTAATTTGGGATTTTTTTTTTGGAGATACAGGAAATATTACTACTCAGGAGAAAAGTACTCTTTTCTCTAGTTAGTTTATCACTCTTACAGTCTTAGATTAGGTTCTAGTTCTTCCTCTCTAATATAACAAATTGTTTAACATGATTGAAACAATATAGCTTTATAGTTGAAAACTTGCTTTTAATTACATGTCTGCAAGGTTCTCACAATAGCCAGCGGGGTAGGAGAACAGTACAAAGGAAACAGTAGTCAGGTGGTCTAAATTTGAACCTTTGTTTATTGACCACATGAACCTGAGCAAGTCATGTTCCCTCTCCAAGTCAGTGTCCCCATAATACAAAGTGAATATTTAGGATTATTGTGAAGACAAGATGAAATAGTACATGTAAAATGCCAGGCCCAGAGTTAGGTACTCAGTATTTTTTTACTTTAGTCGTTACACCGCTCCTACTTTATGAATAGAAAACTGAGGGCTCAGGGAAGTTAAATGTATTACAACTTGGATTTAATGCTAATGGTATCGTGCTGAGCCATGAGTTACTACTTTCTCTCAAAGGATGTATTTGTGCCACCAAACAGGACTGGCCATTGGAAGGACAGAAGAATTTGGTGTGGACTATAACATGTCTACTAATCAACTTTGGGTGCCTTCACCCAGAGGTGCTCAATTCAATTCAGGTTATTTTTTATTTTTTTAGTTCAATTATGTGTCACAAATCCCATATAAGAGGAAGTGGAATGAAAAAAAAGCACCATATAAGCAAGACCTTTCCCAGAAAGGATGTTGAAAAAACAGTCTGCTGCCTCTGCTTGCAGGTGTATAAGCTTTTAAGTAAGTGAGATATGATGACCTATATATTGAAAAAGAAGAATTGAAACAGCAGGATCAGATTTGTGCTTGTGAGAAGGCTTGCTCTGCCTTCTTCCATGCTCACATATATACACTGTAACTGAAAAAGTAACTTTTTCTTTTAAACTAGACAAGACTGAATTCCAACAAGCCATATGAGCTTGGACAAGCTCTGTATTATAGCAGAGGATGGAATGAGTTATAGTACTACATTATGTGATTCCTTTAAAAAGTTGGATAGATAAGCGATCTTCTTTCCAAATGGTTCTGTCAGGTGTCGTGACTTCCTTGCTACAAATAGTTATTGGGCACTTTCTGTGTGCAGACACTGGGGACACAGTTGTCAACCAGGAGGGAGAAAGCCTCTACTCTTCTTGAGTGTACAGCTTAGTGAAGGAGATACGTTAATCAAAGAACTAAAACTAAATGTATTAAGTGCAAGACCTGTGATGGAGAAATACATAAGAGGGACGTTAGGGAGCAGGAAGAAGAGGAGGATTTAGCTAGGCAAAGAGGAGGGATAAACCTGTCCAGGCAGATGGACGGCAGATGCACAAGCTCAGTGGTGGGGGAACCATGGTGGAAGGGGAACTGCATAGGACAGTGTGGCTGCAAGGGCAGTTTGGTGGGAGCAGACTGGTGGCCAAAGTATGTGAATCTAGTAGGATGTGATAGAGGTGTGTGTGTCTTTATTCTAAGAACAATGGCAAGTCATTGAAAAGTTTCAAGTCACTGGAGTTGGCAAAATGAAATTAGTACGTTTACAAAATATTTGAAGTTTGGGTGGTTCATTAGGACAGAAAAATAGATTTGTCTTTTTTTTTTAAATGCCAGCCTCATCTCCTTATGTCCCCTTCTCAAACATCATCAGTGATTCTCTAATGCCATGGTATGTATCTGGTATTTAAGGCTTCTAGCCAAAACCTCGACCTCCATCCCTAGATTTAATTTCCCATTTTGCTACCCTTAACCCACTGCCTGCCTTCCCCCATTTTGCAAGGTCTGACAAGTTCATGAACTCATCCTGGAAGAAGTGCTACATACCTCATTGCTG